AAATATACATGAACTTACAGTTAAAGCTCAACAGCTGGCCTCTGTAGCTCAGTTGGTTAGAGTGCTGCACCGGAATCGCAGGGCCGTAGGTTCAATTCCTACCAGTGAGAGGACCTTGTGCTGCATTTTTCGCAGTCGTTCCTGGTTAGGTCTTAAAATGTATATATTCTCATTTGGATTACAAACCCTAACATTCTAATATTAATTCCACCAAGTGAAGTGCAAGAATCCAAATTATTGAAGTCCACCTTATCACAACCCGCACACCCGATTACCTATATATACATGAACTTACGGTTACAGCTCAACAGCTGGCCTCTGTAGCTCAGTTGGTTAGAGCGTTGCACCGGAATCGCGGGGCCGTAGGATCAATTCCTACCAGAGGACCTTGTGCTGCATTTTTCGCAGTCGTTCCTGGTTAGGTCTTAAAATGTATATATATTAAATGTATATATCCCTAACATTCTAATAGTAAGTCGACCAAGTGAAGTGCAAGAATCCAAATTATTGAAGTCCACCTTATCATAACCCGCACACCCGATTACCTAAATATACATGAACTTACGGTTAAAGCTCAACAGCTGGCCTCTGTAGCTCAGTTGGTTAGAGCGCTGCACCGGAATCGCAGGGCCATAGGTTCAATTCCTACCAGAGAACCTTGAGCTGCATTTTTCGCAGTCGTTCCTGGTTAGGTCTTAAAATGTATATTTTCTCACTTGGATTACAAACCCTAACATTCTAATATTAAGGCAACCAAGTGAAGTGCAAGAATCCAAATTATTGAAGTCCACCTTATCACAACCCGCACACCCGATTACCTAAATATACATGAACTTACGGTTAAAGCTCAACAGCTGGCCTCTGTAGCTCAGTTGGTTAGAGCGCTGCACCGGAATCGCAGGGTCGTAGGTTCAATTCCTACCAGAGGACCTTGTGCTGCATTTTTCGCAGTCGTTCCTGGTTAGGTCTTAAAATGTATATATTCTCACTTGGATTACAAACCCTAACATTCTAACCCTAACATTCTAACATTTGAAATTAAGGATTTGGAGGTTTTGCGATCACTGATAACTTGATAATAATATAAAACAAAACACTTCTATCTGCAACTTTTACTATCACTGATAACTTGATAATAATTTAAACCAGTCAAGTTGTAGTTTAAATAGAGAATAATACATGGGTGCACGAAATACCAGATTTATTTCGAGTGTTGAACATGAGTGCGGAGCGAACAAGTGAGCGCAACGAACGAGTGAGATGTCATGTTCAACACGAAAAATAAATCTGGTATTTCCAACCACCCATGTATTTTTCTGTTTATTATATAAAGGACAGTCTTTGAAAAGCGATAATTTTTACAGAAAAGCGATAATTGAAAAAGCGATAATTTTCACATGTGAGATTATCATGAATAATTTCACATGTGAGATTATCATTTTTATCAGTGCTCGAAATCTCTTTAAAATACTCATTAATAATTCATAAACCTTGTGGCAGACATGTCAGCCATAATATGTCACGTGGAGTGACTTTATATCTGATAAAACACATGTGGCATTATATAATTGTTCATCTTAATTAGCATGATTATACTATGGTTCATCCTAATTAGTATTCTTTTGTAGTCGTATTTTAAGCTATTCAAAACACTCGTTGTCGTGTTTTATCTGATATATAACGCTCGGCTGCGCCTCGCGTTATATATCTGATAAAACACTCCTACTCGTGTTTTAAATAGTACATAAAACACTATACTTTATATGATAAAAATTCATAAATTTGAACCACGCTAGACCATGACAACAGCAAAATGCTCAGACAGTCTATAGTATGATGCACAAAATTTTGGGAGATGAAATACACGAACAATAAATCAGAGAGTGTTTGCGTGAATGCGTGAAACTCACTGGTGGGGGGGGGGGGTGCAACACCCCTGATAATTGCTCATGAGGAATTTCAGGTAGATTTCCAGTGCACTTTTAGGTAAATTTAAGTAGATTTGCAGAAGATTTTCAGGGGAATTCAGGTAATTCTCAGGACATGAGAAAGTGAATTTGGAAAACAACTGTATTTTCGGAAAAATTATTATATGTCCTGAAAATTTTTTGTACATCTGGAAACATTTTGGTAACCTCCCCCCCTCTATCTAACCTCACACACACCCTGAGACGAAGTGCTAGCAACGGCACTGAGTATACATCTTTTGAAAACAGGCGAGGGGTTATTGCATGCATGTATTTCTAGTAAATATTATATGGCCAAGTTTTCTTAAAATATTTACGAAAATATGAAGAAATACTCCAATTTTTGAAGATCCACACAATAATCTTAAATGTAAGTGTTAAACTATGTCAATATTTTGAAGTTTCGTGTGTAAATATGTGCCATAAATAGTTGTATTCATGTATATTTTTAACCGCCGTGCCGTTGGTCGCATTTGTATTTTGAATTGGGTTCAACAATATATTGTTACTAATAAAAATACATTAAAACTTAGTGATATTGCTTTGTATTTACAGATTATAATTCCAAGCAATAAATATTGTCATAATATGTGCTCCAAGCAAGTCGAACTGTCGAAATCATGATACCTGTAAATGTAACCTCGAATGTAACGACAACAAACTAGAATACTACAGGCTACAAGAAGGTATGAATATAGTTTAATGTATTGAGACGGTATCAATATTGATTCATTTAGCTAATATTGATATACCCGTACCGAAAATCATGGCGTGACATGAACGATATTCGGGCCATAAATTTGAGCGAGACATGAGCGATAATGAGCGTGACGATACACAGCGATACACGGCGTGTCTCAAACGTGACATTTTCGAGCGAGACATTGAGCGAGACATGAGCGATAATGAGCGTGACGATACACCAGCGATACACGGCGTGTCTCAAACGTGACATTTTTGAGCGAGACATGAGCGATAATGAGCGTGACGATACACAAGCGATACACAGCGTGTCTCAAACGTGACATTTTCAACCAAATTTCACCGGTACTGGGCCATACATTTTTCAGGCCATAATTTTGTCTGGCCTGATTTTGGCTGTATTATGGCTCCACATTTAGGCCGGAAATTAAGAAACGCAATCGCATTTACGCAGACAAGTAAAATAACACATATCAATACACATATACCAAGATAGCACGCAATGCTATTAAATCAGGTCAAAAATATAAAGCAAGTTTTTAAAAATTTAGTAAATTAAAAATCATTGTCATTGACAATAGTTTACACTTCAAACTTTTGGATAAAATGCATTTGTAAAGTTAGTTTTTGTTCAAGTATTTTTACGCATATTTTGCTTTTCCGTCAACAGCGATTAAATTACTTTTATATTTCAACGTTCAAGATAAAACCACTTGATTGAAAGAACATCACGCTATTGCAACAAGCTTTTTCTTATACTAAAAGCCTTATCGACTTGTTTTAACTAATCTACATTGACACTAGGGGCATTTATATGGGCGAAAATTAGCTGCGGCTTTGAGATGGACGTCGCGAGCGACTCATGTAAACGGTCAGTTTGTCCGCAAGGTCTGCAAGCGGCAGCTAAAATATTAAAGATAACAGGGTTGAAAGCTAGGCCTAAGGCTAAGTCACTTTTCGGGCCGCGGTTTCAGACTTAATTTCGCCATTGCATTATATATGACAAATATGAAAATCGGATTTTAATTTCGGCCTTGAATATTTTGTAGGCCTTTCTATTCCAGCAAATTTCTGTTAAAACATATAAACATCTAAAGTTTTTATACCTATAAAAAGATTGTTCGCAATGCATGGTTTTGAAAGCGTAAAGGCCCAAACAGACCGGACGCGATTCGGCAACGCGACACGAAATTTCAATGACATTTACCTTTACTATTTTTCTATGCTTTTCAAATATTCTTAACCACTTAAGCAATTTTAGCTATTTTGGTCTGCATATCTTGTAAAATTTTTATCCGCTGACGGTTTTATTTGTTTTTAAAATCTGAAAATTCGCGTCGCGTTGTCGAATCGCGTTCGGTCTGTGTGGGCCTTAATAATTACATTTAAAGTAAATTATGTATTGCGGTATCACGCGCAAAACTGTACAGAACAGGTAAACGTTGAGATTAATTACTTTCTTTTAGAAGAAACTTGAAGACTGTCTCGAATGCATATATTGCCAACGCCTTGAATCTCAAAGTCGCACAGAAACTTTGCGAGGGACACTATCATTTGACTTCAACGTCGCCTGGCTGAAGAATTACCAAGAATACAGTGCAATATATAACGATGATCATTGTTGAAAATCCGCAACTTTTCCCTTGTTCGACCGACCGTGTATGGTTCGCTGCTTGAAAGCGATGCGTGTGTACAGCAAAATAAAACCAACTCAAATTGCGCGCCTTGTCATCCGAGACAAAACAAATTAATTTTTAACGTAACGCTCTTGTCGTGCTCAGTTTCTTTCAATTTTCGCCGGATATGATAATAATCTCACATTTTCATGGCACGCAAAGGAATTTCTGTTGCTTGTCTCGCTATATTATCGTCCATGTTTCGCTGTAAAAGCAGCGTGACAATTGTCTTGTTTGAGCGAGACAATTTGTCTTGCGATGTCACGCTCATTCAGGCCAAATTCTCGGCCATAAACAAGCGATACATATGTCTCGTTCGTAACAGGCAGCGAGACAAAACCAATGTCTGGTTGTGTCTCGCTCAATTACGGCTGCTTTAATTGGTTTATGGCCAGATACTGGCCAGAATCTCGCTCAGTCAGGCTGTAACTTTTCGTACGGGTAATCGCCAAAGCAAGTTATATGGCTTTGTATGAGAGGAGAATAATTCCTCCTCTGTGTTTAATATTTATATTGTGCCTATCAATAGATTCCAGACAAACCCTAAATAATAAATATACATATTGCTGAATTCCCTGAATACATTCAGGATATATGATGCTTGTGATGTTACTCTGAGTGTATATCCACGCCGGGCAAGCTTGAAAAATATGCCTGGCCACGGTGGGAATCGAACCTACAATCTTTGGAATACTAGCCCAATGCTCTGCCAACTGAGCTACGCGGTCAGGTCGGTTCGAGTACCGGTATGTGATATTTCGGAACAGAATCTAGTTCTTTCAATATCAATGTAATCTAGTGATCATGATTATAGGTGAATATGATGCTTGTGATGTTTCTCTGAGTGTATATCCTGACCGCGTAGCTCGTTTGGCAGAGCATTGGGCTAGTATTCCAATTAATGTCATAGGTTCACTTCCCACCGTGGCCAGGCATATTTTTCAAGCTTACCCGGTGTGGATATACACTCAGAGCAACATCACAAGCATCATATTCACCTGAGTACATTACACCGACACAGAAAAAGTCATCCAGGATATATGTTTTTCATAATTTTTTCTGTGTTGGTACATTGGGCTAGTATTCCAAAGGTTCTAGGTTCGATTCCCACCGTGGCCAGGCATATTTTCAAGCTTGCTCGGTGTGGATATACACTCAGAGTAACATCACAAACATCATGTTTGTCATAGTTATACCTCTGAGGAATTCCAAGCTCAAAAATTATATATGATCCCCTGATTGCCCTGAAGAAATATCCCAATATATGCTAAGTACTATGCAGACACTAACATGGCATAATGCCATAATTAGTAAATGTTTATGACTTATGAATCAAGTTCAGGGCCGTAGCTAGACGCAATACTTGGGGTGGTGTATATTCATATATTCATGTTCACATACCGTAAAAACAACCGCTTTCAAAAGAAATCCGTCTGGGCAGAACACGAATATATGAATATACCCCCCCCCCCAATTATCGGTCTAGCTATGGCCCTGGTCAAGTTGTGTGTTTATATGGAACCGAGGTAGCCCAGATACCAGAGTTCATTGTACATAGTGTTGTACTACCAACAACCAAGTACAATTTCATCCATGTTTACTTGAGACTTTTCAGGCAGGTCAGCTCAAAGCACCTGTCTTTATTGCCATATAAGAGCTGTTTACATTGCCCTCTGAAAATGTACCGCTGTACGGAACAGATAAAATGACATTCTTACTGAGTGAATCTACCTGTGCTTGGACAAAGGTTTGAAATGACTATATACCGGATATCATATCCAGGCTCAGGGCTGCCGAGATAATTTTCAGGGCCCTGGGCAAATCTTCTCTGGGGCCCCATGACTAGACTGTATGTAGCTAGACTGCATGTGGAGCTACTGTAAGCGGCCCTCAATTTCAAAAATGCTCTCATCAATTTAAAGGACCTACTCAATTTTAGGCTCTCAAGTTGGGGCCCTATTAAGGTTGGGGCCCAGGGCAATTTCCCCCTCCCTCTATCGGCAGATAGTGAGATAATCTTACTGTCCAGTATATTGGCAAATACTGGATTTGAACTTTGTGGGCAAGGCTTTGGCAATACCCATGTTTAGAATGAAGTTATTTCCTATGATTTCAAGTATCTTTTCAAGTCAAAGTATTATAAACACCCTGATTTTATAATCAATTAAACTAATTATTTATCTTAAATGAAAGTCTAAACCTTTATATCAACAGTATCCAGTATTCAGCTGGATAATGCGAATATCTTTCTTTCAACTATCCAACATAGCTGAAATCTGGCTGGATGGCAAAAATGTCTATCTGGTGCAGCCCTAGAAATGACCAAATGCCAGGTGAACAATTGTGACCAATTGTTTTATCTGGCAACCAGGTATTTCCTCAAGGTAGCCCTCATTGTGACTGAGAAAAAAGTTTAAAAAAGACAAGTGTATAATTTTAATAAAAATATTGACTTAGGCTAATGAGGTTTTTGGGTAATTAGTTAGGATTATCTACAAATTTCACTTGGACTGTAGACAAATTGGCACAGGAGGGCATGTTCTGAAAGGGAAAAGCTGGCATTGTATAACAGACTCTGAGACACACAGCAAGCTAGAACTGGTTGAATTTAAATGTGCTTCAGTTCATATTGTATGTCATTGCAACTTTAGAGTTGTGTGTTAATTATTTCCCTGCCGCTACTATGAGAATGAAATTATTGTGCATTAGGGATGCACCTGATAGAACATTTTACTATCCAGCCGAATACAATATATGCCGAACGGATGGAAAATATCCTACCAGATTATTTATCCGGCCAAATACTGGATATAGAGTGATTATAAAATATGTGTAGGATATATAAAATAAGATATAAACTTTAAAAATGTTGGAAGCGAAACCAGGATTCTCTGGTTAAAAAGATTTATTTATTACAAGCGTTCGACTGCCAGTCTGCAGATGGAGACCCGTCGAAGACTGCAGACTGGCAGTCGAAAGCTTGTAATATATAAATCTTTTAACCAGAGAACGTTTACACAATTAAGATATAAACTGTTTATAAAGTGATGCTTTTTATAATATATTGATTTGAAATGATACAAAAGAACTTCACAGTGAATTAAACTTAAAGTGCCCAAATATACATGTACTATGTTTATTATTTACTGTGACTAAAAATGTTAATCCCAGCAAAGTTTACTCCTCTGGTTAATTGGTTTTAAACGGTCTCTCTGCCAATGTGCCTTGTTGTTAAATCATAGTATGCCCTAAACCACTCGACTTGCCCTAAAAAGTGTTACTTGTTGACAGTTTAGCCAGACTTTCTACCCAAATCTCAAATATTTACTCTGACATGTCACCAACAAAAATTAGATTGGGTTTGTTCTATAAGTTGTTTGATACTTTCTCATAAACCCATAAAAGGTACAGTGCACTCTTTATAATAATCTCTAATGCAAAATAATTATCTTTCTAGGGAACGTGCTGGCCATTAATGTTTAACGAAGGACAGTTGCACACCAAAACCTTTGTAGATTTTGTGTGCTACAATATAGTGATGTGTTCTTCGACTGTGTCAAAGTGCCATTCAGCAAAGATTCTATTGGTTTCAAATCACCTGTACTGGTAATATGAACTTTAATTTGGATTGTGACTGATATAAACTATGTTGAAATGATTCAACTGAATCGAAATATGTAACATAGACTATAGTTTTAAACTCTAAAAATATATAATTTACATTTGTACTTTCTATTCTCTTCATTGTTTTAACTTAGTAATTCAGTTAAATTGAGTTAATAACTTACAATCTTAAGCAGCATTCTTAAAGGGTAATGGCAATAAAAAATTTTATTGCTTTATCTGAAAGAGCATGAAAAAATAATCCGATTGGCCGTTTACTGCTCTATTCTATCTCATCTAGTTCCGAAGTTATACGCAAAAATGTGCAAAATATAAATTGCTGATTCAGCACAACGTGTGACGTCATTGGTAGGGTAAGTATGTTTAATGAATACTAAACTGAAGCATAGCTTAGTTATTATGGGACCAAATCAAATGAAATTTTGGATACTGGTTGTACATGATTTGACGCATTGAAAAACACTTCTAATTTTGTTGCCAAGGTAACAATGTCGTTCCCAGGCCCCTTGCGCCAATTTTATAAAACAGCTTTATTCATGGTACTTATAAGAATAAAATAATGTCAGAAGTATGTGTACCATACCTATGTATGCCAAAAGTTTACTTGCATGATAATAATTCGAAAATGACATACACATAGATAAATGCAACTAGTTATTCAAAATCAGTGTAAGGGGCCTGGGAACGACTGCGTTGCCTTGACAACAAAATTAGAAGCATTTTCCCATGCGTCTCATCATGTACTATCTGTACGCAAAATGTCATTTGATTTGAGCCAATAATAATTGAGCTATGCTTCGTTTACTATTCATTAAACATACTTACCCTACCAATGACGTCACACGTTGTGCTGAATCAGCAATTTATATTTTGCACATTTTTGCGTATAACTTCGGAACCAGATGAGATAGAATAGAGCAGTAAACGGCCAATCGACTTATTTTTTCATGCTCTTTCACATAAAGCAATAAAAATTTTTATTGCCATTACCCTTTAAGCAGCAAAAGGTATTTTTACATTGCATTAAGTTTATATTGAATATAGCTACTTTAGACATCAATTGGATGTACATTTACATCACAAACCATATCAGTACAGTAGCTGTATTCAGTAAGTACGTAATGCAGTGTAAAAAGACCTTTGGAGGTGTTAGTTTACGCTCGTAGTGTAGATTAACACCAGTTGGTGTCCACACAGCTGCAAGGTGCTTTACACCAAAACAGCGTAAAAATATCTTCGGAGGTGTTATTTTACGCTCGTAGTGTAGATTTACACGAAATCGGTGTCCACACAGCTGCAAGCTATTTACACCAAAACAGTGTAAAAATATCTTCGGAGGTGTTATTTTACGCTCGTAGTGTAGATTTACACGAAATCGGTGTCCACACAGCTGCAAGCTATTTACACCAAAACAGTGTAAAAATATCTTCGGAGGTGTTATTTTACGCTCGTAGTGTAGATTTACACGAAATCGGTGTCCACACAGCTGCAAGCTATTTACACCAAAACAGTGTAAAAATACTTTCTGAGGTGTTATTTTACGCTCGTAGTGTAGATTTACACCAAATCGGTGTCCACACAGCTGCAAGCTATTTACACCAAAAGAGTGTGAAAAGATCTTCGGAGGTGTTATTTTACACTCGTAGTGTAGATTTACACCAATTCGGTGTTCACACAGCTGCAAGCTATTTACACCAAAAGAGTGTGAAAAGATCTTCGGAGGTGTTATTTTACACTCGTAGTGTAGATTTACACCAATTCGGTGTTCACACAGCTGCAAGCTATTTACACCAAAAGAGTGTGAAAAGATCTTCGGAGGTGTTATTTTACACTCATAGTGTAGATTTACACCAATTCGGTGTTCACACAGCTGCATCTATTTAACACTGAAAGGTGTATTTTAACACCAAAATGAGTGTAAGTAAACACTAAATCGGTGTCCACACAGCTGCAAGAATTTACACCGATTTCGGTGTTGTGGTAACACTCCCAGATTTACAGTGCCACAACAGCATACGTAACCCATCGTGTCAACTTTCTCTGTGGGAGAAAACCGGAGTACCCGGAGAAAGCCCACGACGTTTGGCAGAGCGTTGACTTTTACTCTTTTCACACGAGGACTGGGTTCGAATCGCATTGGGAAAGTTCTCACTGGAATTTGAACCTGCGACCTTAGAGGTGAAAAGCAAGTGCGCTAACCACTTCGCTACCGAAGCTCCGTTTTTCTAAACTGTTGTAAACATAAAATAATCCAGGCTAAGTATGTAATTAGGTAAGCCATAGCCTATCGAAGCGAAGATGGCTGTGAAAGTGGGCGTGGAAACATATTATGTTATTTTTATAATGTTTTGCTATCACGTGATCGTAAACCTGCATGAAAAACATGATATAAGTTTTCACAAAGTGTTCCATATTGAATTGCTTTGTTTTATTCCATTGAGAAATGCTATGCCAGGCGAAAATTGCAGCTTGTACGGATGTTCCAATAGCAGAAAGAATCCAAAAATCTTCGGAAAAGCTTTTCATTGGTCAATCTCGTAAACGGAAATAATTACGTAACTCAAATGTCAAC